CCAAACAGATTTGTCCGTCAGTTAACGCTGTTTTCCATCATCAACAAGGCACAATGCCCTGAAGATGAAAAGGGAAATGTGCAGTTGTGGTAGTGGTAAATGGGCAGTCCGATCCCATCTCGACCAGGCCCGTTACTGGAAGCCGACCAAGACAAGCTATGAAAGGGATAGAAACAATAAACTACTTAGCCATAATGGAGGTCATCCAAAAAAATTTCATGCACTTGAGAGCAGAAAACGACCAAAATTCAATTTACAGTAGAAAAGATAAATCAGTCTCACAATCGACCTTCTACTATTTTTCTTTTTCTATATAATAAAATCAAATTTTTATTTGTATTATGCACCTTACATACGGTGTGTACCTTAGGCTAATAGCTACACTATTCCTGCTGGAGACGCCTTTGTTCCTCATGAAGATGCTGATGACATAATCCTGCTTTGTCCTGGAAGTAAAGTTGGGGTTTACGATAACCACTGAATCCTTGTAGCAGATAAAGACACGCTTGTGGAATCCGTGGACGCAAAAAATGCGGTCTTAAGTGATCAGACATACCAGAATAATCGATCTCTGAACATTGAACTACAATAGGCCACTCAGGTGCAGCAAAAGTCATTATAGAATCAAGAAATTTACAGCTGCTGTTCTCAAACTTACAAATAACTTTAACAAATAAAGTACACGAGTCACTATTCAACTTGTTGCGGCAACATATAAAGTACCCACAGAATATTTTGCTTTGGTTATCTCACAAACATGGGGACGAGACTTACCTCTTAGATCCATAAGGAAGGTCTCGCTATTTCGCCCAGAAAAATCCCCTTCTTTGAGTAGAACGATTCTCCAGCAACGATATATTCCCCTTGGACCCAAATGAGAAGTGCCGTTTCAAGAAAGGCATTCCTAAAGAGCTCTTCAAGCTGGAACTTTTTGTCAATTTGGGGCCCCTTCCTTCATGCGTAATGCTTTTCTGATGATCAAACATCACGAGATCACTATTAACAACGCGATTCCTGGATCGCCTTCTGACTTTCAAATCCATTTCAGCTTTCAATGCCTTTTCGGACATCTTCAAGGCCCGCTTCTCCCCAAAAGGGCAGACTGGACAAGCTGGATCATACTTGTCGGCTTCATTTGTCATATTCTCCAGGCACTCAGCATGGTACACGTGCCCACAAACTAAAACTGCAACAGCAGCATGTTCTTGGCTGCACCATGAAGGTCTCTGAGTTAAAGGCTTCGCACAAATGCCGCAAGTTTGGAGATCAGAAGAAAGAGATACTGGATTTTGTCCATTAGATCTTGTTATTTTGTCACAATTGAAACCCGATAATTCACTATCAAATGACCACCGTCCTCTACGAGATGTCATGAGCTCGGAGGAGGCACGAATTGACCAACTATCGAAAGACCCCCCATTGGATCCCCTTGTTGAATCATTGCACAAAGCAGGGAGCACATAGGACCCCTCCTCCTCAGATACTGATAATGTCGGTGACTTGTATACTGGAATCCGACTATCTGATACTTGTCGTAATAGCTTGTGTCCAGGAGAATGGCAATACCACCTTGTAGGAGTTGAGTATGGATGCTGCAGCTGACTTTGGTATGATAAAGGAGATGTCGAAAGAGATGAAACTGAAGGTGCTGAAGGAGACAGCTTTACACGAGATGGATATGGATCCACTGAGAATTCATCCGACTCCTTCACCTGAACATTAAGCAAAGAAAAAAACACAGTTTGATCCATGTGTATAAACATCCCAAGCACATAATAATATAATTTAATCAACATCGTCACTCATCAGTTCCCTTGCATACCTCTGTCAAATTCTGTGCAGTTGATGAATCTGCAAATACAACACAGGAGAAGTTAACTAATGAATTAAAGAAAAATAGCATCTTACTTTTCTTATTATGTCTAGAATACAACATCGAGCATTATGTCAGTTGTGAAACATGCTAAATCCCCTGAAGATTAAAGAAAATGCCAGTAAATGAGATTTATTATCTAACAGAGCACCATTACACATGATACTAGGTCTACAACACTGGGTCTACAGGTCAATGGTAAATGTTATAGACAGAATAAATCTCTTACCACTACCCTCGGAACAGTGGTAATCCAAGTTCAGCAGCCGAGACGGCAATAACTACCAGATCCTAACACTCGTACAGAGGAATCACCCAAAACCAAAATATCTGCAGATCAACCAATAGTCTGGATTGATCCCATAATAATAAAGCAATAAATGGTAAATAGACGTAGCCTTTCAAAGTAGGAAGAATGAGCACTAACAGACTATGGTCTTGATAAATACAGACTGGTAACCGTCTTCCTTATGTAGTGACCAAGTAACAAAACAAACTCTTACCACTGCAACAAGTCCCAAAAGCCTTCAAATACAGGTTCGTAATTACATAAAGTGCATTCATACGTTCTCTCTAAGATATGCTACTTTTCTAGTTTTTGGATAATTTCATGATTATTTCACAACCTTTACAAGTAGATGAAATCTTGATGAAGTGAAAAGTCAGTCCCTCCTAAGGCATGGCAATAATGAAGGTGCATTCCAACTTTTTCAATAAAAGTTTGTGATTATTCATGACATTAATCCGTCCTTTAACACTATCATATTTCTCCATCAATCATTAGCCTCAACCCCATATCTCTATGAGTTCCAGATAAAGCATTCATTCTCCCCAGAGGCAACAACACATGATACGAATAATTTATTAACACGCATTTCTGTATGTCTACTCATTGTTCTGTCCTACTTTCATACCATTTTCATTATATCTAGGCCCATCAGGAGCCAACATTATATCGATAAACCACAGGAGCAAAGTATCCATTCATATTCCGTATACTGCCAGCATATATTGCATACCTATCTTTCTCAATGTGAAAATTGTTCGCTTCAAATCTTTTCTTCCACCAACGTCAAAAGTGCTAATTTAGCATTCACTATACCACTATTTTCTGCCAAAAACTAGGAAGCCTGACAGCCTTCACACCTTTAACACAACTAATTTTCTTTCTTTTTGAGTCAGATTGAAAGCCGTATATACTATGTAATGGTCACATCTAAGAATCAAAAGGCATTGGCATTTCGTTTTAATGACACTTCGTTTCACCCAGCCTAGATGGACAGGCATGAATCATATTGTAATTACTTGTTAATCATGACTAACGTGTATACATATTAATGTAAGAAAGATGAAGTGCATCTACACTAGATGAACTGAAAAATAAAAAAAATAAAAAAATTCAACATTTTAGATTTCCATATATCAATTGGGAAGAGGAGATTAGATTGGAAAAAGAAACTTATTATGATATCCATATATCAATGGTGAAAAGGAGGAACCTAGGACTAAAAAAAATGTCACCAGGAGGACTAATAACCACGGCAAATAAACCCAGACAAGAGTTGGATGAATAACTGAGAAACGTAAACAAAATAGACTGCATATTGTGCTTTTGCCACTTGAGAGGGTTCTTGTTGAAATAGGAATTGAGAAATTGGGAATCACATTTTAACAAATTTTCATCATTATCATTATTTTATTTACAAAAACTTGGCAACTGATTTATAGAATTTACCAGATGATGGAAGCCTTAAAATCCCAGCATTTCCTTTAGTAATTGGGGACTTCTGCCATGCAAGTGACCGGAAACTATCCAATGGGCTACCATCTTCAGAAGCAAA